TCAAATCCATTGAAAGTACCACTCTTTGGCTCTCTTTGAAGCATTTTAGCCACTTCCTTAGCTTCACCTTGACTTTATTTTTACTCCAAACTAGTCTTAGAACTTCCCCTGCTTTTGCAATTGACCTACAATGGTCCCAAAACACTAACAAACACCATAAAACATTCAAATCAAGTGTGAAACCATATCTTAATGAGAAAACAAGAGAATATGCATTTAAAGTAACATTTTCTTGAACTTAAACCCAATAAATAGATTCAAACCAACACTAAAAACATGTACAATTAGGCTCACGTCAACTGCATACTGAACCAATGAGCTAAACCCGTGCGGGCTTCAAGAAAATATCTTAAAAAGGGGGGAGGAAGTAGTAAAAAAAAAAAAGGCCAAGGTGTGATACTACCCATGGAAAGACCTCTAGCGGAAGGATCTCAACTGAGTACTTTGGACGCGAAAAAGCATTCTAATCCCCTTCCTCCCCCAAAATCGATCAGTTCTTCACAGTCCAACCCTAACCCACCGAGCTCAGCCGCCCAATCCGCTGTCCGCCGCTCTCTATCTCCCACTCCCGTTCATCGCCGCTCCTCGCCGTTCGTCGCCCATCAACAATAACCTCCATTCCTCGCTCGCCGGTCAAAGGAGTAGGAGCTGCCTCGCACCGACGCCGACCACCGCTGCTGCCTCGCACGCCAACCACCGCCGCTCGCCGCTACTGGTCGCACACCAACCACCGCCGGTCGCCGCTGCTGCCTCGACGCCAACCACCGCCGCTGCTACGAACGCCGGCCGCTGCCTCCGTTAATCACCGCAGGTGAGTTCGTTTTTCTGGTTTTTAATTTTTTTTTAATCGAAAATCATTAATCATCAGTCTTCTCAATTGCAAATATACACATAAAAATAAAGATAATAATCAAATAAATATGATATTCTTTACTAGATTATTGTATATTTTAATTTTATTTTAATTTTTTTTTGTTATTTGTTATTGTTGTTTATTGTGTATTATTGTATATTTGTTATTATTGTTATTGTGTATTATTTGTTATTGTTGTTTATTGTTTTGGTTTGATGCCATCTCTAAAGTGGTTTTAAGATTGGATTAGGTTAATTGTGAATTATTAATTAAGTATAAAAGCAAGCATTAAGGATGTGAAACGTAGGGTTTATTGTATATACAAATTTGTTGTGTATTATTGTATATGTTAGGCATTGTTCTGTATTATTGTATATGTTAGGCATTGTTGGAATCATATTTGACCAACCATTACCTTATGAATTAGTAAATTTAAAATTATTTAGTTAAAGCTTTAATTTGAACTTTTAAGTTATAACTTAAGAAACTAACTCATTTATCATTTCTTAAATGTTGTGTGACAATATATAGGAGATATGGATCGGAGTTGGATGTATAAAAAACGCAATACACTTGAATATGTTCATGGGGTTCAAGAGTTTGTTAAAATTGCCGAGGAATATGCAAGTAAAATTGGTGAAAATTATATAGTGTGTCCTTGTTATGATTGTAGAAATCTAAAAAAGTTTCGTAGTTTTGAACAAATTAAGGAACATTTGATACGTCATGGTTTTAAGATAGGATATGACCGGTGGATATGGCATGGTGAAACTGTCCTTACTAGTAACAGTACAAATCAAAGAGAATGTAGAAAAAATGTAGAGAAAGATCAAAGTAATGAAGATAATGTTGGAAATGATGGAGACAATGATCGGCTAGATGAATTGATGCGGGATATGCAAGGGGATTTGAATGAAATGCCTCAAGAGTTTGAAAGTTTTTTTGAGAGTTCTGGAAAACCTTTGTTTTCTGGATGTAGTAAATTTACAAAGTTATTAGCAGTGCTTAAATTGTATACCGTAAAAGCAAAACATAGGTGGAGTGATAAGAGTTTCACGGAGTTATTAGAGCTTTTAAAGGGCATGCTTCCAAATGAGAATGAACTTCCTTGTTCAACTTATGAGGCAAAGAAAATGTTATGTCCGTTGAGTATGGAGATTGAAAGGATCCATGCATGTCCAAACGACTGTATTTTGTATTGGAATCAAAACAAAGACTTGCATGTGTGTCCAAAGTGTGGAGCATCGCGTTATAAACGAAAAGGGCTCGATGATGCATGTGAGCAGAAGAAAGGTCCTCCAGCGAAGTTGTTGTGGTATCTACCGGTGATTCCAAGATTCAAACGTTTGTTTGCAAATGCAAAGGATGCGAAGAATTTGCAATGGCATGCTAGTGGGAGAAAAGAAGATGGAAAGTTGAGACATCCTGCCGATTCTCCTCAGTGGAAGAACATTAATAAGAAGTTTCCTGATTTTGGTGCTGAAAATCGAAATCTTAGGCTTGGACTATGCACGGATGGAATGAATCCTCATGGTGACATGAGCAGTCGCCATAGCACTTGGCCAGTTCTTTTAACAGTTTACAATCTTCCTCCGTGGTTGTGTATGAAGCGCAAGTACATCATGTTATCATTGCTAATATCTGGTCCTAAACAACCAGGAAACGACATAGATGTGTACTTGGCACCGCTTATTGAAGATTTAAAGATGTTGTGGAATGAAGGTGTTACAGTATTTGATGCTCATAGTCAAACCAACTTCACTTTACGAGTCATGCTGTTCTGCACAATCAATGACTTCCCAGCATATGGTAACTTGTCAGGGTATACTACTAAAGGGGCTAAGGCATGCCCTGTTTGTGAAGATGAAACAGTTGATCTTTGGTTGAACAACAGTAGGAAAAATGTATTCATGAGTCATCGAACCTTTTTACCTATTGACCATCCTTATCGAAAGAGGAAAAAAGCTTTCAATGGAAAATCTGAGACTGGAGTTGCTCGCTTACCATTATCAGGGGATGTTGTTTATGATCGAGTGAAAAACATTGATAATGTGTGGGGAAAAACTTCAAAAACAAGTCAAAAGGGTATTTGGAAAAAGAGGTCTATATTATGGGATTTACTATATTGGGAGCACTTATCTGTTCGACATTGTCTTGATGTAATGCATGTGGAGAAAAATATTTGTGATAGCATTATCGGGACATTGTTGAATATTCAAGGTAAGACGAAAGATGGTATTAAAGCTAGAAAAGATATGGTAGAATTGGGGATAAGGACTCAATTAGCAGCACAAGAATCTGGAAAGAGGGCATACTTACCTCCAGCTTGTTATACTCTGTCTAAAAAGGAAGAAACAAGTTTTTCTAGCTGTCTAAATGGTGTCAAGGTTCCTTCTGGCTATTCATCTAACATTAAAAAGCTTGTTTGAATGAAGGACCTTAAATTGGTTGGTATGAAATCACATGATTGCCATGTGCTAATGCAACATATGTTACCTATTGCTATTAGAGGCATATTACCTAACCATGTTAGACAAGCAATTACAAAGCTTTGCTACTTTTTCAATGTCATTAGTAGTAAAGTTGTTGATCCTGAGGTGTTGGATTCTTTGCAAGCTGATGTGGTAGTAACTTTATGCCAGTTTGAAATGTATTTCCCTCCATCATTTTTTGATGTTAAGGTGCATTTAACAGTTCACTCGGTGTGGGAAATTAAAATGTGTGGTCCTGTATACTTGAGGTATATGTATCCATTTGAGAGATACATGGGAATTTTGAAAGGATATGTGAGAAATCGATATCGGCCAGAGGGGAGTATAATTGAAGCTTATGGCGCTGAAGAAGTGATTGATTTCTGTACTGATTATTTGGCTAATGTTCAGTCCATTGGTGTTTCTAAATCACGTCATGAGGGAAGACTCACAGGAAAAGGTACCATTGGGTTTAAAACACATGTCCCTAGTCAAATAATCCGAAATCAAGCACATCATCTCGTACTGCAGCAGCTTTCTGAGGTTCATCCATATTTGGAACAACACTTGTCTATTATAAGGCAACAAAATCCTTCTAAAGGTGAAATGTGGGTGACAAAAGAACACAATTCTACATTTATCACATGGTTCAAAGATACAGTGATGCAAGAGTTATCTCAAGTGCCAAATAATATCACTGAAACCATTAGATGGTTATCGTATAGAGCTAGATTTGTTGTGAGCACTTATGAGGGATATGATATTAATGGGTATACATTTTACACAAAATGTCAAGATAAAAAAAATATAGTGCAAAATAGTGGAGTGACATTAGTAGCACAATCAAGAGAGTATTCTAGTGCTAAAGATACTAACCTGGTAGATGCTACTATGTCATACTATGGAGTCATTGATGAAATCTGGGAACTTGATTATAAGGTGTTTAGGATTCCTCTATTCCGATGTTCTTGGGTTGATAACAGGCGGGGTGTCCGTGTAGATGATTTGGGTTTTACCTTAGTTGATTTTGGTCGGCTTGGATATCATGATGAACCGTTTATACTTGCATCTCAAGCTAAACAAGTCTTCTATGTTTCTGATCCTATTGATAGTAAGTGGTCAATTGTCTTACAAGGCAAAAGAAGTATTGTTGGTGTTGGTGATGTTGTTGATGAAGAGGAATATGACCAATTTGATGAAACCCCACCATTTTCTATTGGTATTCAACATGTGACTTTATGTGAAGATAACATTGATACTAATTACATGCGTACTGATCATGAAGAAGGGTTGTGGATTGACCATCTGACAGTATAATTTCTATAATGTAATCTTATTATTATTTTTTATCATGGTTATATTTTATAAGATGTTCTTTATAACATATTTATCTTATGCATGTGCAGGTATATATATACATGGCTGACGATCACACAGATCCGGTGGTGGAGGAATCTTCAAAGGGAACAGAGAGCAAAGTGCGTAAAGCAAGAGGAGCTACAACTTGCAGTAAAATGACAAAGAAGAGATTAGAGGATGAGTCTAAGGTAATTGAGTTTGATGAGAAGAATAGGCCTCTTGGGCCAAATGCAAGGAAGTACTCAAATTACCTTGGCCTTATGGTTCGTATTCACATAGACATAAACATTCCACACTGGCGTCTTGTTCCAACTTCGGTTAAAGATGCAGTCTGGGATGAACTTAAGGTAATAGTCAATAATTTAATTTATCCATTGATCATTATTTCATTTTAGTTTTGAGTTCATTAGTTTATATATGTTAATGTCAATAAAGGCCTAATTATTTGTTATTTTGTTGTTGTTTTTCAGAAAGAGTTTAATATCCCTGAGTCAAGAAGAAGTCATATTTTGGTCCATGCACGACTACGTTGGAAAGATTTCAAAACAAGATTGGTCCGTGACTTCATCAACAAACCGAACGAAAAATATAGCTCTCCCTGTGAGTTATATAAGTTCATGGATGAAAAAAAATGGGAGCAATTTGTAACCACGCATGAAACTGAAGCTGCCAAGGTACAATACATAATTTACTTCCTTAATAATCATGTAACATGGTTATTATTAACATATTATTAAATAATAACTTTTGTGTAAGTCGGCCAACAGTCAAAAGTATAGGGAGTTGCAAGCGCGAAATGTGCATCCTCACTATTTAGGGCCTACGGGCTATGTTGGAAAGCAGTCTGAGTGGTTGATATGCGACCCATTGTCTTCAAAATCTTCTTGTGCGGCTATTACCTCGAACATATCATCTACTGATCGTAGTTTGGATTGGGTTCGAGCGCGATCTAAAAAATCTGAAGATGGAAGTTATTACATTCCCAATGAAAAAACGAAGGGAGTGTTGGATAAAATTGTAAGTAATACAAATACTTTAAATATATATATTTTATTGACGAGATTACTAGCTAACATGTAAATTTTAAATCTTTTTGTGTGTTGAAATATAGGTTGAGAAGTGTGAAGAGATAAGTCAAGGCTCATTCCAATCAAAAAGGCAAAATGATGTATTGACAACAGTTCTTGGCACCAATGAGTACGGTGGCTATGTGAGAGGTGTTGGGGTGTACTCCAATATTCGGGATGTGTTTGGTAAACTTGAGAGCATAAGTCGTGGAAATTCAGCTGGGCTTGTTTCAGTTAGTGATATGGAGAAGATCATAGAGAAGAGAATATATGACAAAGTGGCTGAAAAGATTAAAAAAGAAACAATGGAAGATATGCAGCCCAAGTTTGATTTGATGCTATCCCAACTGGAATATTTGATGAAGAATGTACAAGCAAGTCCAAACGTTGGCACACCAACTCGGAGCAGTTGTCATTCTATTGATTAAGTCAACAAACTTAAGGTAATATTGAATATCTTTAATATTTTGAATATTTGATATTCGATCTACTTGTTATTATGTCTTTTACTTTTGATTCATAGGAAAATCCAAAACAAACCCAAATGATGAATCTTGAAAGTGGTGATCAATCTGCTGTCCAATTACGACTACTTCTTGTTGATGATGATACACTGCAGCAATTGGTAGATGAATCTAAGAAATTGGTCAGACTTATTAAGAACCTGCCTTTCGATTTAGATTACATTAACGTGGATCTAGATGAGGCAATCTTCCATCATCAAGATGTGGATTTCATTCACGTGTTGTTTCAAGATATTAAAGACTTGTTGACGATGCGATGGCTTGATGTGACCATATTGCAAATATTTATAATGTAAGTATTTTTTATAATGTTTTTATATTTAAAAACTTGTCTTTAGTCGTTCATTTTTATTAATTATCTATATATATGTTGTAGATGTCTTAGTCGGATGTGCTCCAAAATTGGAGTTCATACAATTGGATTCCTCTGCCCAAGGACTATTTGTGTTGACTCTGTACTTGCGGATATTGATAAGGTCACAAAATATCTTGTGAATGCCATGGTTGAACAGACGAATCGACACTTCATTTTAGCTCCATACCATGAAAAGTAAGAAAACTATATTTATATTTTTAATTATTTATTTAACTTAATTGCATTATTTGTGAATAACACTTAACATATTCATTTAAATGCCTTAGAAATCATTGGATGCTTCTAGTTATTTCTGTTCCATTAAGAAAAGTCTATGTATTAGACTCCATTGCATCAAGTGATCACGAGTTTGAGATTAAGGCCACATTGAATGTGTAAGTACACCATTATTGTTTATAAATATATTATATTTTGAGAATTATTAACCATTATTGTTTATAAATTATTTATGATTGTATATTATAGGGCATTTCGATCGGTTGAAACTTTAGGGGGGAGAAGACCTAAAAACAACGTTGATTGGGTTCACATTGAGGTATATATATCTTTCATATTTAATATTAATATTTTTATTGTTTAACATATTAATATATATACATATTTTCTAGTGTCCTCAACAACCGGGTGGTGTGGAGTGCGGGTATTATGTGATGAGATTCATGTATGAAATATGTCCTCAATGTTGGGATTCTGATGATTTAGATATGGTATGTAAAATTTATTAAAAGTAAATAGTTTTAAATTACACTTTAGTAATGTTAAAACTAATTATTTGATTATTTTAAATTTTTGTAGGAATTATTCTTTAATAGAAAGCCTTATTCAGAAGCGCAAATTGATGAGGTTATTTGGTCTAAATATTTTACTCAAGAATGTATATAAATTTTTGAACTATGATTTAATTATAATAGTTAATTATAATGATGAATTGTTGGTACTTATCTAGTTTAGCTTATTACATAAGTGTTGAAGTAGTGTAGTTTAAATATGTTGAAAACTTTGAAGTTTAGGCAATTATGTATTGAAAACTTTGAAGTGTTACGTTGTGAATTGAATTTATTGGAGTTTAATTTAGTGCTAAAGTGTTGGCGTAATGATGTATTGAACTTTATTAGTTGAAAGCTTTGAAGTGGTATGTAGTGGTTGTGACTGCATGTTCTGGATGGACATAATATTTTTTGTACAGGAAAAAAACTGGATTTATTAACAAATTATTATAAAATAAAAAAAAAACTATAATTCGCGTCCAAAGTCCTTCAACTTTGGACGCGAATAATCATTTTATTAAAAGAAGATGATTAATCGCGTCCAAAGTCGAAGAACTTTGGACGCGATTTACTGACTTTGCACGTCCAAAGTTGACCAACTTTGGACGCGCAAAGTCAGTGGTCAACACTGTAATGAGATTAATCACGTCCAAAGTTCTTCAAATTTGGACACGATTAATCGTTTTTCACGTCCAAAGTAGCTTTGGACGCTGATTGTATATACAATCAGCATCCCCGACATCTGCGTCCCAGCTACTTTGGACGCGAATTGTGCTTTACTTTGGACGCGAATGACTGTTTCTATAATAGTGTCTTGAACAACGTCAATAGATGCTGAGAGGTAATCTGATCTGATTGTATAAGTGCCTGTGTCATTGTACTTAATTATGCTTAGTAAATTGATCTTTATTTGGGTTGGTGCCCCGCAGATTCAACGACGTTAACATTTTGGTGTCTTCCTACATTTAGTCTATCTATTGCTCATTTACTGCATATTTAATTCATTGATATTGAGACTCTAGTCTCTCATTTGATCTAAAAAAGCTAATTTATCTGTCCAATGTCTCTGTGCACTAAGTATATTTTATCAATTTGATAATATTAAGAAGTGGCAGAAGAAGAACTTGAAAAATTAAAATCGAGACACATGATTGGTACAACAAGTAGGGAGAAATTTCCCAACAAGAAGCATTATTGAGGTAGGTAGGCTAGTAGAGGAAGCAAAAAGGAAGGCATAAGAATATAGAAGAAAAAGCCAAAGGGATAAGGAGTGTCACGACAGTAGGCCCTACAAAAGGTTCAAGAAGCAAAATGGTTGGGATGCTAATTGTTGGGTGTCGATTGGGTTAGTAGAATTTAGCCCCTGCTCGATTCGAGACGTGACACTATGGCTTACCATGGAGATATGTGGTTAAATGGTTAATGTCCACCTACTTATCACCAATTTGTTTTAAGTAGGATATGGAAACCAGATAGCTAAGGAACACTGTGGTTAAGCGTGCTTGACTTACAACAGTCATAGGATGGGTGACCAACTTGGAAGTAGGCATAGTTCAGCGCTAAGATCCATCAATTGGTATTAGAGCCGAGGTCACGGGTTCAAATTGATAGCGAGGCGAAAACCAAGTCTAGTCCCAAATGGGATGTGGCGTAGGTCGGGCCAAGTCTAGTCCCAAGAGGGCGATTAGCGGGCGTAGAGGCTAAGGATCAAGTCAGGCATGCAATTAGTGGGCTATTAGTAGGCGTTGGGCAATTGGGCATGGTGTGTTGAGACTTAGTTTTAGGCTTTTGTTATGTTTATCTGGTTATGTTTATTCCTTTGCCTAATCTTGTGGTTTAGGTATAACCACTTCTTATTTCATGGCCCTGTACTCTATTTAAAGCTTTGTCTTTACGTTGAATAGACGACGATTGTTCACACTCCGACATGCTATCACAGTCAACACTCTAGCGAGAAAAATAATTCTTTTTTTTTTTTTCCTTCCCTCCCCTCCTCCTTATCACCAATCATGGTTATCGCTAACACCCTTGTCATAACTCACTTTCGCGTTCCAACCCACTTGCCAATTAAACTCCATCGAATTTCCCTATTTGGAAGAAACAGGTCGAGTCTACTCTTAAAGGACTAGATCTTCTGGGTTACATTACGGGCTTCACTACAGCTCCGACAAAGTACTCTGATACCACTCGCACCGTAATAACTCCCGCCTACAAAGCTTGGTTCAGGCATGATCGAATTATTTTGAGTGCCATTATCGGCAGCCTTTCAGATGTCTTGCTGCAGATCATCTCATCTGCTATCTCTGTGAGTGATGCCTAGACACGTCTATCCACTAGATGTGCCGCTGTGTCTCGGGGACGTGTGGTTTCGCAAAAGGCAAAACTTCAAAAAAATCCTAAGGCCAACTGGCCTATTGAGTCGTATATGAGGGAAATGTGAGCAATTGCCGATGATCTGGCTCTAGCTCAAAGTTCGGTCAGCGAAGAAGACCTCGTGGATCATATATTCACGCAACTTGGCGATGAATACAACCCCATTGTAGCGGCTCTTCGCGTATGAACCGAGGTCATCTCGTTAGTGAGCTGCAAGATGTTCTCACTGACTACGAAAAATTGATGAAGGATAACGAAGCTGCCTCGCACATCCATATGCCTACTGCAAATGCCACCCAACGGTGTTATAATGGCTCAGCTGACTCCCAGTTTCAAAATTACAATCGGCGTGGCAGAGGGGGTTCTGCTTCTTCCAATGGGCGACAAAACCATGTGAAAAATAGAGGTAACCGGCCTCCCAGGTACTGTAATTTTTGTGACTATCCCGGGCACGACACCAAATTCTGCCGCAAGTTGGCCAAGTTTTTGAAGGAGAACAATGTGACTGTGCTCGAACCTCAATGCACTGCTCGTTAGTTTCCCTCGGGTCACGCTACGTCCACCATTGCTTTGTGATAGGAATATTTTTGTAATAATGTTTTGATGAGCCAACTGTACTTTAGATCCCTTTAGAATTTAGGACTTTAGTACAAACATCATAATTCAGAATATCAAGTCAGAAAGCAAAGGAAAGACTACTACATGAAGAACAAAATGAATTAGGATAATTAATTTTGGTCCTACGAGTATTCATGCAGAAGACAAGCATTAAATAAAGGTGTTACAATGAATGATTGGATAAGCTTCATAGCAAAATGGTAGAAGTTTTTGCACACAAATGATTATACCCAAGATAGAATCCCTGTAAAGACTTATTTTATTTTTGCAAAGGCTAAGTCTGAAGAAGCAAGAAGCAGGCAAATAAGCAAGATCTATCAAAGTCAACCAAGCAAGATGTGTAAAGGTCAAAGAAGCAAGATGTGATAAAGAGCACAATGTGATTAGATCAAGTGAGCACAATGTGACCAGGTCAGATCAATGGAGCACAATGTGACCAGGTCAAACAAGCAAGATGTGGTAGGTCAAATAAGCAAGATGTGCCAAGCCAAATAAGCAAGATCTGATTTTGACAAGCAAGAAAGGCAAAATAAGCATAATGTGTCTTTAAGGAGCAAAAATGTGACAAACAAGCAAGGATGATCAGAATATTAAATAAATTCGAATGAATGTTTTTGGTTCATCTCACATGTCACAAGAATCCAAATTGCATGAAGACATGATCAGAACGGTGGAAAATCTATGAAGACATGGATAAAGACCTTATCCTAAGAAATAAATCATGTCAGAAGGATTTATTGCCAAGAGACGTTAGAAATTCAAAATTGACAAAGATAAAAAATATTATCTTGTCAAGACAAGTTGGCAATCAAATCAAAATTGAAGAACCTAGTGTCAACAATATCTGGCTACAAGATTCAAATTTCAAATATCAAATTATCCCACTCCAACGGATATATTTGATAATCTATATAAAAAGGCCATGAAGACTTGAAGATGAAATGTGTGAAAAGAGACGAGCAAGTGATCTATACAAGCAAAAATTCAAAGTAAATATTCATTGAAATATCTAGAAGAGAGACTCAGTCTGAATAGTCTCAAGAAATAGTTGGAGAGAGATACAATTGCCGTCATATTTGTAATTGTATAAAGAGTATAGCTGTGTGCAAAATACTCTAGAGAGTGTAGCTGTGTGCAAAACACTCATAGTTGCTAAGTGTACCTGTGTGCAACGCACTTAGTTGGCGTTTGAGTATAGCTGTGTGCGAAGTACTCGGAGTTGAGTGTAGCTGTGTGCGAGACACTCGGAGTTGGGTGTAGCTGTGTGCAAGACATCCGAAGAAGTGCTTGTGTAGCACTTATTCACTATTGTAACTGTGTGTGGAAAATAGTGAATTACTCCTAGACGCGAAAGGAGTAAAGTGGACTAGGAAGATTACGACACTTCCAGACCACTATAAATTCTCTCTCTCATTTAAATACCGCACTTACTTAATACATTTTATTTATTTACTTAGTATTTGACTAACCTATTTACTATTCATTGTTGATCTTAATCATTCGGGTTTAGTGTGTTTTCACGTGTGCATGTAACTCAAACTTTCTATGCTTAACATTTAGAGTATTCTAAGCAATTTTGACGTGTTGCATGTGACATTTATCACACGATTGATTTCGCACGATGTCTTATACACAATCTTGAATAATATTTTTTAAATATTGAGTGAACCATCTCCTTTAAATATTCAAGATATTCTAGCTATTCTTACACATCATCTGAGCATATCTAACGTTCTGCATGTGATCCAATTTATTATTTTGGCATAACACTTTACATATATTTATTCCGCTGTGCAATCAAAATTAAATACTTGTTTATTTATTTGTTACTTGGAGTTGAATTTACCATAATGTTATTTATCTTGAAAAAAGTTTAAAAAATCTATCCTTGTGACACCCGGTAATTTTAAGCAACAATATAATTTTAGGAAAAACGATACACAAACACACACACACACACACACACACACACACACACACACATATATATATATATATATATATATATATATATATATATATTTCTTTCGAAATAAACCACAGGATGTGATTTGGCTTGATGTATTAAGCTTTGAGTTTCTTGTGAGAGGTTGTGGGTTCAAATTTGGTTAAAACAATTTATTTTCAAAGCTACTTAATTTGCAAAATGGTCTTTTTGTTTTTATTTCAGCGGAGTTTAAGAATTGAATAATTAAATAGGTGAAATACTTGATTAGCAGTCAGAATAATATAATGATTGATTAGAATATTATTGTAATGATTGGCAGTGATTATAATTGATTGATTATAATGCAGTTTCCGACCAACTTACCGACCACTTTATGGATTCGGAAAAAACACCCTCGCTGTTACCGACAACTACTTAAGGTGGTCGAAATACCGACTTCTTTACTAGGAGGTCGGAACTATTAGTTGTCGGATAAAGAGAGCATATTTCCTACCACTAGTGATCGGTAATTGGTCGGAATTACCATCCACCGGTGGTCGGTAAGATTTACAAAGAAAAAATTAAAAAAATTTGAATTACCGACCACCCACTAGGTGGTCGGTAAGATTTACTAACAAAAAAAATAAGAACTTAAAATTCTACAAATATCAAATGAATTAAACCTGTTACAATTATACAAATTTCAGCACCATAATATTAAATTCTACAATACAATTAACAATTTAAGGAAATTAAACATTAGTCAATCATTTAAATCAAGGTGTAGCAATTGTTTCACCATCAAAAATACATTTGTCAAAATATTAGCTAAACATGCATGCTAATAAGGTTTTGTAGCAATTGTTTCCGCATCCAAACTTAACACCAGATTCCCTTTCTATCCTAGAAATGTTGGACTTCTTAGGATCATAAAGCATTACAACAACACCAGTAATTCCTGGAGAATATAGCAACTCGTGGTAAATAAAAATTCTCAAAAAAAAAAAAGATTATTCATGACACAATTAGATAAGCAATTCACCTGCCCTTCCTGCTCTCCAGATTCATCAAAACCAAGAGCTTTGAGAGCAGCAACCTTCAATGCACCCCTAAGTTTATTCACCACCAAGGTTGCAAGAGCTTCTTGTTCAATATCTTCAGCAATTATCAGAATGGGAAATGGGAAAGCCACTTCTGATGGCACTTTCCAATACATTATTAAGATCCCTTGCATTTGTTATTTTTTTGTCAACCAATAGTAACTGCACCAACATACTCATCATTACATATCAACAAACCGTACTAGAGACATGCATTTAAACAATTAATGAACATTGAAGTTCAAAGAAAACCACTTACCTTACAGTTCTCATATTCAACAGCCATTTTCTCACTATCAGTTACAAAGCATGGTGAAATGTAACCCACAGTTTTGGTTTGCCATTTGCCTTTTAACCCTTTCTACTACTACTACTACACCTCTGGTAAACAAATATAGGCTGGACAATATCAATCACTTGGCACAAGTGTTAGCTTCTTTACCTCTTTTGACATGTTTTTCAGCTCAAACACTAAAGCTTTTGTGGTCTTCTCAATTCCTCTAGTGATCAAGACAGGGTTTGCACCAGTTGCAACAACCTGCAAACAGAATATCAATTTGTATAAAAAGAGTTCCATGACTTACAGCATGTCCATATAATTTGAAGCAACTTAGCAACCTATGAATTTTTCATATATACCTGGACACCTTCAGCAATTAGGCCTTGTGCAAGAACAACAGATGTTGTTGTCCCATCACCTGCCAAGTCATTGGTTTTGGCAACAGCTTGTCTTACCAGCTTAGCACCTATGTTCCCTCCACAGGGTCCTCCAGCTCAACCTATAAGAGATAATCATAATCAGAGTTATTGCACTTAACTTACTTCAGAACCAAAAAAAGGACAGAAATATATCTATGTCTACAGTGTAGAAAAATAATGGGACAGACCAAAAATATATCACCAATACCCATCAGTAAATGGAAAACAATAGGGATAATTTGTTACAGTGCTAACCAAATCCATTTTTATTACTCGGAAAAAAAAAATTTAATGTACAATTCGTAAATGTGAAAAACACCTGAGTTTGATAACATAAACTTAATTGCTAAACATAATAAAGCAGAATGCACCATTACTAAAAAAACAGAGTACTGGTTTAGATCATATATACCTCTAGCCACAGTAACTCCATCATTGACAATTTTTGGAGCACCATACTTGCTCTCAAGAACAACATTCCTTCCCTTGGGACTAAATGTGACCCCAACTAGATCAGAAAGCTTATTAACACCAATCTGAAACAGCAAAAAATAACATTAACAACAGTCCAGAAAAATTCACAAAAAAAAAAAAAAATCCACAAGCATAGTCAAAACAATACTTACTTGGAGTTTCTTAATAGCTGATCCATCCTTGTTGAAATACAACTCCTTGGCTGCAGCTGTTATTTGGCAAGGGCGTGTTTTGCATAGAACAACATTTTTCCTCCTCCCAAATGAGCTTGAAGAAATTGCAAGCCTGTTGTCCTTCATGCAGCTACTAGGAGCAGCCAATGAACCAGCTAAAAACATGCCAACAAAGGTAGAAGCCATTTGCACCTAAAAGGAAAACAAGCAAATATATATATATATATATATATATATATATATATATATATATATAAAACACCACATGCAACAAAATATCAAACTAGCTAGCTAGCTATATGATATGCTTGGATCGTTTGCCAATTGGGAGACGAAGACTCCTTTGTACACGCTCCCGAACCCACCTTCTCCTAGTAGATTGGATTCCTTAAAATTTTTGGGTGGCTATTGCGAGTTCCTTGAAGGTGAAACTACGTGCCACATTGCTCCTTTGCCCATTACTTTCCCTATAATTCCCTATCAAAGAACCTCCTTTCCTCCTTTGATGTTCTGCACATATATATATATATATATATATATATAATTATTAACATATCCAGAAGATCATATCATAAAAGATGTTATTGTAAATCTAAAATCTTCCATCATATAAATTAAATATACAATGATTCAACAACACATATATAGAATGATAATCTATCGATTAAATTCTTAATTATTGACGAACTAATACCTGATGAAGAAACATCTGATCCATGAAGCAGATCCTCATCATAATCCCTGATGGCTTCCTTACGGGAAGGGCTAATGCAAGGAAAACAATTCATCATATGTTCAACAATTATATTTAATGTAAGACTTTTAAAAGTATAACATTATTATTATTATTATTATTATTTTATATATATATATATATATATATATATATATATATATATATATATATATATATATATATATATATATATTATTCACCGTACCACCCCAACTCGATCAGTAATAGAAATCAAGGTTACATCTACAACATAACAATGTTCAGTTTTCTATCAATCCATTTGTATAAACCACAAACACATCTTAACTCAAGTGTATTGTCTAATTTTAAATATAAACCAAGGAAAACAAACCTCATTGGTCTTGTTGTAAAACTGAGGACAATTCGTCTTGAAGCAGGGCTAGAACTGACAACTCTATACTTGACAACTTGTTCAATATGATACATCGAGCTTATGTCAGACTCAAGATCTAAGCCAAGTTCAGATCTAGAAAGATAAATGTGGATGTTATTTATTAGTGCTATAACATCTGAAGCAAATATGTAAATGTTTATTATACACAACATTACATCATTTCCTGATCTTGGATAAAATGTATGTTTTCCAAAGTTAAAATGCATTGAAATTAGCAGAGACCCATTTTACAATAACACTGACATATCTTTGAGTATAATTTTCCTTTTTAAACATATTCCTATGGAAGCCTTGAAACAAAAATAATTGTTAAACAAAACAAACATTGCTGCCTTTTCAAGTGAATTGAATAACAAAAACTTTGATACATATATATAAAGCTTCAGAGGAGAGGCGAGACGAGACGAGCATACCTGATCAAGATAAACACTCCACAAGTCGGTTCGTTTTGGATACTCCTTAAGCATTTTTTCAAACATGGATCTTCCCCTATCAGCCACCCCACATTTAAACTCCAGAATTGTTGTTTGTGTTATAAATTTTATGTGCTTATGCCTGGGCAGACATACGTGAGCACAGTTTACAATAGACTAACTGTTGTCGTGGTTTTGCTTTAATGCCCACTGTATACGCCACAGCCAAACCTGAATGAATAATTACAATAAAAATACTATTAATAATTACAAACAATAAAAGTAGAGCATAACCACGAGATTTCGCAAGTCATTTCAGGGCTTCAGGCATCACTACCTTGCAGGAATGCTTGAACTTCTTCACCATTTTCTCTAGCAGCTCATCACCCAGTTTGTGCTGCTCAGTCCGTTCATACACACCCAATAAAGCCAGCTGCACCTTCTTCGAATCACAATACTGCAATGCTCTTTGAAACACTTTCATAACCGCTTCCTGAAGAGGATCACATTTCTAAGCACATACAGGAAAAGAGAAAAAAATAGACTTAAAAGAAGAATCTACCAACATCGAACATTTTTGTTCCCAAATACCTGTGGAGGATTTCCATATTCGATTTCCAAATTAAAATAAACAACCCAACCATTTAGCTTTTCAGACTCTTCTCCAATGTTTATTGTACTCAAAGCCTTTCAGGGAAAAATAAAAAGGATAAGTGTAAATTTAGTCATTAAACCAAAGGAAAACAACCAATAATAAACATATATATCACCCCAACTCAAGTGCAAACCATTTGTATAAACCACAAACACAACGTAACTTAAATGTCAAAAGTAAAATTCACTCTAGAACATATTCATCATCCACATTTTTATAGCATATATATAATCCTCATCTTTTTTTTTTTTATAGCAAAATGCATGTATCAATACAAGTAGAAAGTCATACATACTATTTTCTGGATTCTCTATCATAGATAGCCTGCCTGAATGCCTGATAGATTTTCCTGAAGAAGCTATTTTCCCCAATTCGAAGTGAAGGCCAATGCCCTAATTATTTCGAATCAGATCCGGAGCTTTGTTCTTTTATACCTCCCTAATTATATGAAAAATAACTAAAAACTATAGATTATAAAATAAAGAACCCTAACAATAGATTAAGAAATACAGAACCCTAACCATTACGTCGTCGATCGAGGAGAAGACGTCGATCGAGGAGAAGAGCTAAGGAGGAGAAGGCGTTGTTGATCGAGGAGAAGAGCTAAGGAGGAGAAGACGTTGTCGATCGAGGAGAAGATCTAAGGAGGAGAAGGCATCGTCAATCGGTAGAAGAGCAAGGGAGGAGAAGGTGCCGTCGTTCAAGGAAAAGAGTTGGGTAGGAGAAGATTTAAATCTGCGTAGTCAATTGAGGAGAGGTTTAGATCGCAGATGCTAAGAGAATCGAGGGCTTCATCAGCGTAAATGATCTAGGGCAGTTGTGCAAAAGAGCTAATAAATTATAAATGTATTTTGGGCCTGTTTGCGTTTTCGAAAGAAAAAAAAAAAAAAAAAAAAAAAAAAGACTTCCGACCACCGTATTTGGTGGTTGGCAAATGAGATCAGTTTTAAAAATTGGCAAAAATTTTCCGGGAAATACCGACCACTTCGTAAAAGTGGTCGGAACTTTCGACGAATCTCCGACTGCAGTAACTCTTTGACGAAAAAAACGAAAAAAAGCCAGTTTTTGTGACCAATTTTTCGAGTGGTCGGAAAAGAGGTCGGAAAAACGAAAATTTCCAGCAGTGTATGTAGCGAAATGAATCGGCAGAAGGGAAAAAGAAAGAAAAAGAAAAAGAAAGAAAAGAGACGAAAAGAAAGAAGAAAGTGAAGGAGAGAAAGAAAGATAGGAATTGGAGGTTTGGCGGTTTATGAAATTGCTAGGAATTATCATTTTGGTAAGATTTCATGTTCACTAAAATTTTATATTTTCTCTAAAGTATATATATGTTTTTATAATGTGTGAATGTGGTTATGATATGATATTATATAAATTAAATTTATATGATTTCATAAATTATGTGTGATATTATGTGATTATAATATTATGGTGACACAAGTACATTTATCGATAAATGGTAACGTTGCGAGTGGTGATTCTCGAAGTATCGAGAATGGGTTTCGACGTGTCGAACCCGTGTGTTGTGTAAATGATTGGCTTGGAATTTTTGATATTTATATATAAAAAAAATGATCAAATGCGATCAATTTCCAAAAAGTGTTATTTTGACAAATTACACCATTTATATATGTGGTGAAATCTTATTATTATTTCACGTTCATATTATTAAAGTTTGGAAAAGAAATATTTTTACATGAAAGTATATACACATACATATTTTAATCTTGGAGGATGATGATATTTGGTGCTGGTGTGAGCCGGAAAACTCACAACCAACTGATTGGAAATTTGGTCATTCTACCGGAGTGAGCCGGGAGAACTCACAAAAATATTTTTATTATACCGGAGTGAGCCGGATGAACTCACAGATTTGGAATTTGTCTTAGATATGGAAACCGGAGTGAGCCGGTAGAACTCACATTGAAATTCTAAATTATTTTCATGATTGGCTTATGAGATGCCTCTTGGTCGTTAAGTTGAGAGCTTAAAGACTCTACACTCGGTATCTACTCCTCCTTGATAAATATGATACATTTTGGAAAAATGACGTGGAATATTTTGAAAAATGATTACTTACTAAGTAATACTTGGTAAGTCTCTACTATGTTAATTGCACAAAAGTATACATATATATTTTTAATATATATATATATGGTTTGCGAAAGTATAAGAATTTATAAGTTTTTATTTTGAAAATTATATAAAATCCAAGCCTATTATTTTACGGGGTGAATGGAACTTACATAGCTTATGCTAATTTTGTCTATATTCTATTTTTGTGTGAAATTCTTATTACAGGTGAACATGGATAGTAAATCGGGGTGGAATCAAGTTGAGATGGAATAAAGTTTATTTATTTGAAATTTTGAGGAAAATATTGTCGTATAGTGATTTCAGTTTTATGTATTAAGTTGATTTTGATATATTAGTTGATGTTGTAAATTAGCCTTAGCACTTAGGTTGATGGTTGCCTAAGTGTGGCGGTAACACCCTTTATTTTGGTTAGTTAATGTTTCCGCTAGAGTATTATTGAACTTTTAATTGAGAAGAAGTATTGAAATTAATGAAAATTTTGTTATAAAATTTGGGGTGTTACAATCCCCCCCCCCCCCCCCCCTCTAGACTTTTTACCACCATATCGGGACCAAGAATTGGTATCAGAGCAGTTGTCTATTTGTGTCAATTGTGACTGCTAGAAAAATCTCAAAAATCAAAATGATGAAAAGAGATATGGCTCTTGCCCAAAATCTATTATTTTCCCAAGAAAAGTTTGATGATTGGAAAATTCGTATGCAGATACATTTATCCGCATTACACGATGAAATGTGGGAAGTAATTACAAATGGTCCTATTGAAATCATGCAAATAAACACTGCATTCGTACAAACAAGTGACACTCCGCAATACCTTCCAAAACCTAAAGTGGAATGGTCTCGAGAAGATAGAACATGAAATAACTTGGACAATATTGCCAAGGATATTTTGTTCAAATCTATCGATGACACGATATTTCCAAAAGTTCGAAAATGTCAATCCGCAAAAGAAGTTTGAGAAACGCTCATTCAAGTTGGTGAAGGAAACGAACAAGAAAAGGATAATAAACTCATTATAGCATTAAAGAAATTCGAAGATTTCAAAATGATAAGCAGCGAGAATATTACCGACATGGAGACAAGATTTGCTAAAATCTTAGGAGAAATTAATAATCTTGGAAAAGACATTAATCAAAAGGAAATTTCACTCAAAATCCTACGTGGACTACAATCTACTTGGGATATGAAGGTCACGGCCATGCGCGATCATGGAGACCTAAAGACCTTATCAACCGACAAGATTTTTAGCGATCTAAAGGCTTATGAGTTTGAGACGAAGTCGAAGATAGAGGAAGATCATGAAGAAAAGAACAATTCACACATAGTCAAGCAACCGTCAACATCAAGGTCAGTACAAAATAATGAATTATTGCCTAATGATCAATTTTCTCTCTTTGTCAAGAAATTTAGGAAATTCATGAAGATGAGCAACTACAAGAAAAATCCACAAGGAAAACAATGATGAAAAGCCCGAGGAAAGAAATAGTTGAAGAAGATTAAAATTTGTGTTACAATTGTAGAAAGCCTGGACATTTTGCAGCAAATTTTGCACACCCCAAGGTAAGTAAAAGTCGATATACAAATATCTCTAACCCTCTCAATAGGAAGAATTCAAGACCAAAGACAAAAGATTCAACAAGGAAAGAAGAAAAGCACTTATTAGTGACCCATTAGAAACAAATGAGTCAGAGGAATCTTCAAGTGATGAAAGTGACACTTCAAAAGATGACAATGCAATGTTTTGCATGAGTATCTCCAACACATCATCCTACGAAGACATGTGTCTTATAGCAAATGAAAATGAAGAAGATGAGGTAACATCTAAATCTTATGACTCTGTAAATTCTTCATTCTCTAGAGAGTTCATCTTTCACTTAATGAAAGATTGTCAAACCGTAATGGACACTCACTCTCAACTCAAAGAGCGCAATAATTTTCTAATTCTTGAAAAAGATGAATTAAATGAAAAATTGCAAAATGCTCTATTTGAAGTGAAAGACTTGAAGGCTAAAATTATTTGTCTTCAAGAAGAGTGTAAATCAAGGGAAGTGAGAGAACACAATCTTAGAGAGGTTATAGCAACATTTACACATTCATCCAAAAGTATGGACAAAATGGTAAATATGCAAAAACCCTCAAGTGATAAAACTGGACTTGGTTATGATTCATCGTGTTCTCAAGCCTCCGAAAAATTGACCAATTCTACTACTGCTTTAAATAATAAAGTCCAAGTAGTAAAATTTGCAAAAGGTCAAGATAGCACAATGAGACAAGGAATTGGTTACCAAGCTAATGCCAAAAATAGTATTGCTAGGCCGAAGCCTCAAATTCAATATAGTTCGCCAAAGCAGTTTGAACAAAGGCAAAAGTTTGTTCCAAAATGGAAATATGCAATGAGTCAAGTGCACAAAGTCCTCATAGGAGAATGGGAAGAACTCCGAGAATTGGGGCAGGGAGATTTTATCCCTCTAAACATGATTGGTTTGATGATATTAAATCATGGACTAAGTCCAGATTTAATGCCTTTCACAGGCTCAAACAATCTTCTTCCCAAGTGCTAAAAAATCGAGTCAATTTTTAAAAACCAGCACAAAAAATGTTTTCGAAAATTAGCTATGATTATAAAATGTTTTATGGATACCAATCACCTAAACTTAGATCAGTGAGTACAAGATGGATTTGGGTACCAAAAATGACTAACACCCGAGGACCGAAGTCATGTTGGGTACCTAAAAATGTGTAATTTATTTACAGGAAATTTGGTACTTCGATAGTGGATGTTCTAGACACATGACTGGAAATAAATCGAGTCTTATGAACTTTAAAAATATCGAAGGACAAAAAGTCGTGTTCGGTGGAAATGAACGTTATGACATAACCAAAGGAATTGGTACAATATCCCACAATGGTCTAAAAATTGAAGAGGTGTCCTTTGTTGAAGGTCTAAAATTTAACTTGTTAAGTACAAGTCAATTTTATGACAAGGGATATCTAGTAGAGTTCTTCAAAGAAAAATGTCAAGTGAAAAATGATTCTACGGGAGAAGTTGTGCTCGAAGGAACAAGGAAGAAAAATATGTACGTAGTTGACTGGAGTACAACCAAAGAATCAATATGCTTGATGGCAACAAATTCAACTGCAACAAGTTGGGAATGACACAAAAGATTAAATCATCTGAATTTCAAGACCATCAATAAGCTCGCAAGGAATAAAATCGTTGAAGGTCTACCCGACATTGTCTACAAGAAAGATCAAAAAATGTGATGCTTGCCAAAGATGAAAACAAATCAAATCATCATTCAAATCCAAGATACAAGAATCTACAGCAAGACCACTAATTCTACTGCACATGGATCTATTCGGTCCAGTAGACCCAGTTAGTATAAGTGGTAAGAAATATACACTTGTTGTTGTTGATGATTTTTCCAGGTACACATGGACGATGTTTCTCAAGAAGAAAAATGAAGTGGAACAAAAGCTACTGGAACAACTAAAGCTGCTATAAAACGAGAAAGACTTAAAAATTGCAAAAATTCAAACTGATCGTGGAACCGAGTTCGTGAATCAAGTAATTCAAGCCTACTGCAACTCTCAAGGAATTCTACATCAATTATCTGCCACACGTACACCACAACAAAATGGTGTAGCGGAAAGAAGAAATAGAACGTTAAAAGAAGCCGCACGTGTGATGATTACGTCAGCTGTGCTAC